ATCTTTTGAATTGCCTTCCAACTCTAATCACTGGGTATGCATTATTTTTAGAGATAACACCTTCCTCTGTTTGTTTCCCATCGTCAAAGTCCTCCACAGGTCTCATTAATTCTGAATGTAAAATCCTACAATCTTGTTCAGCATGTCCTTGTAGCTTGCATTATTTACAATACTTAGGTAACATATCATATTGTACCTTGACCTTCTCAATTCTGGAAGTTTCTGCAGCTTCATTGACAATTTCTAACTCTACAAATTTTGGTAAATCAACTAGCAAGTCCACTTGCACTTTGACCCTAGCACAATTAGGTCTCGTCTTGTTGATAGTAACTGAATCTAAGTGTAGAGGTTTTCCAATAGCATGAGCCAATGAAAAAATGGATTCTTTAACAAAAAAAGTAGGTTTCAAATCCGGAAAAGAGATACATGCCATCGCCTGAGTAGTCTCCGCATCTACATTAAACTTATCATCATAAATCAACGGTCTCATCAAATACGAGTATCCATCTTTCGCGATAAATTTACCTTGTAGTGTCACTAAAAAAATTGATCAAATACAAAGAAATTTTATTTGGGGAACAACTGATTCCAAAAAAAAAAAATACATCTTATCAAATGGGATATGCCTACTCAGGATAAGGCACAGGGGGGTATTGATGCACAAAATACAAAAACCAAAAACCTTGCTCTTCTAACAATATTATCCTGGCGCTTATTCAATAAACCTCAATCACTTTGGGCATCCATCCTTATAAATAAATACACTAAATCTGGTGTCTTCCCAAGCCATGAACGTAACGCAACCATTAGAAGCATGACTTGGAAAAATATTTATTTAGGATGGGATACTTGTAAACGTGGAATGGAATGTGTTCTAAGAAATGGATCCTCAATATCTTTTTGGCTAGATAGATGGCTCCCAAACCATAGAACGATTAGAGATATGATTCATGGTCCACTATCCATGAAGGAATCAACCATGACGGTGGACGATATAGTCACCAGTAATGGTATTTGGGATTTAGGAAAACTATCTTTCGAACTACCTGAAAAGATCATAAATCTCATAAACTGTACTTATATATCCCAAAATTTAGATAAACCTGATAAACCAAGTTGGTTTTATGATTAAAAAAATGTATCCTGACTACCAACTCAGTTTATCATCTACTTAAAAATGATAAAATCGTTCTCTCAAGTCAAATCCAAAATTTTAATTGGATCTGGAAGCTACGCTGTCCAAATAAAATTAAGTTTTTTCTGTGGCTATGCAAACATGAAAGACTCCCTACTTGTAATTACTTGAGCTCAATAGGAATAGACATAAATAAAAATTGTTATTACTATAATATACCAGAAACCACAAAACATATTTTTCTAGAATACCCCAACGTAAGAAAGCTTTGGGAGAATATGGGAATCATTTACACCATTAACAAGTTCATCAACAACCCTGATAAGCATTGGTTGGACTTTCTAAAGGACCTTAGCATCATGATAAAAAAACAATTACAATGGTGCGATGTTTTTCCTTTTTACATGTGGAATATTTGGCTGAGCAGAAATGAAAACTATCATAATAAAATAAAAAACAACATTCAAATGAATACTCCTTTTAACCATGCTATGGAGTTCATGCATTTAACTAGGAAAAATTAGAAAGTGAACAAAACCAAAATTGTACACGTACAATGGAAGCCTCCATCCAATGGATACAAGTTGAATACTGATGGATCGGATCATCTTATGGAAACCCAGGAAAGGGAGGAATTAGAGGAGTAATCAGAGACAGTTGGAAACTGGATTTTTGGATATATGGGTAACATTTATGACACAACGGCCACCAAAGCTGAAATCATGGCGCTGCTAAAGGGCCTTGATACTGCTCTCTCAAATGGGTTAATACCATTGGAAATCAATATGGACTCCACAGAGGTCATTAATTTGATTGAAACTAATCACACATCTTATATCAATATTTTGAATGATTGTAGGGCATTGCTTCACCAACTAGGGAACCCCCTCATCCAACATAGCTTTCGGGAAGAAAATCAAGTAGTAGACGCATTAGCTAAAGAGGGATCAAAGATGCAACAAGCAAACTGTTTTGTGCAATGGACAGTTCCACCTTTGTTTGTACTTACTAAGGTGGAAGCAGATAAAGTAGGAACTCCTTTTGTTCGGTTGAAAAAGACTCTAATAGATCCTGGAAATTGTAATAACGATGAAGCCTACCTTGAAAATAACTCTAGCAGACTAGTTGCCATTCCATTCCCTTGTAATAATGCATATTAGTTTCTATTCATATAATATCTCCATTTTACCCAAAAATAAAAATAAAAATGACATAGTTGACAAGACATAAATGGTTGGTGCGAAAGTAGTCAATACTTCCATGTTAATAACACTTTAATTATTAAAATCTCTCTCTTCTCTGGCTTCTCTCTAGGCTATTCTGTGAAATCCCAACGGTAACTTCTTGCCGGATTCTCTTGGCAGAGAAGCTGAGATGAGCATCACCATTGATCTCTTTGGTCCAGCAATAACGCAGCCCCCAGACCTTCCCGATCCAAACAAATACAATCCTTCTCTTCACAAACAACCCCAAATCCCCAATACAACGAACTATCAATTTCCACAAGACTCCCTCCATACTTCGACTAGCAATACTCCCGGCACCAGCGCTCCTAGCGGTAGAGATAAAAGCGAGCAATTCTCTTACGCTGGAGTACTAACAACATCAGCTCACAAAAGGGGAAAAATACGTCTTCCCCACAGAAATTATGAGTTCGACAAGGGCAAACCGGTCATCGTATTCACTAAAGATGAGAATGAGCTGCTGGCAAACACCTGCAAATGGACTATTGTAGGTAAATTTTCCAAAACCAGACCCTCCATTGAAAAAATTAGGACTGAATTTGTGAAAATTGTACCTCTCAAAGGTTCTATGAAAATAGGGGTAAAAGACCATAAACATGTGTTCATAGATGTGGAAAATGAAAAGGATTTCAAAACCATATATTCTAAAAACTTCATTAACCTGGACGAGGAGAATAGCATGAAAATCCAAAAGTGGTCGACCAAATTTAAATCCGAGGCAGATTCTTTAGCTCCTGTTTGGATAAATCTTCCAAACCTCCCCTGGCATTACTATGAATGGGCAACTCTTTGTAGAATTGTTAGTCCTATTGGTAATCCCATTATTATGGACAAAGCTACTCTAACCAAAACCAGGCCCACCATGGCCAAATTGAAAGTCGAAATTGATCTGATGAAACCTCTTGTTCATGAAGTTGATGTGGTCATCAAAAATCCTAAAGGGGAGATTGAAAATTTTTATCAGAAAATCGAATACGAGACAATCCCCGCCTTCTGCGCTCACTGCAAGATTCAGGGTCATACAATTCTAAATTGTAGAATCCTCCACCCCGAGCTAGGATTCGATAATACAAATGAGAAAGAAAATGAGAACAATGAACAAGATCTGAGACAGGGGAGCATCCAAGTCAATTACCAGAACAAGAGAAGTAATCTGAGGCAAAGAAATTCTAGTCATCAAGAGGTTACTGCCAAAGATTACAAAACCTCTGAAAACCAACTGTCTAAAGAGGTAGAGACAAATACGAAAGACAAGGACGAGGGATGGCAAAATGTGGATAGAAGGAAAAATAAAGGAGGACATCAAGTTAAATCCAACAACGACAAAGGGAGCCATAACATCAACTCTCATGCGGCCAACAAAGAAAGCATCAATAGATTTGTCCAGCTTCAGGACAATAAAGGATCTGATGAAATGGACACCACGCGAGAACTGGCTTGTACTAATGATAGCCAGAGCCAAAATAAACTCGTGAACACAGCATTCAAGTACACGAGAGTGGATAGAGCCCTGGAGGAAAAGATAAAAGAAAGAACTAGAAAAAAAGTTGTGAAACAAGGAGTTAGACTTAATGTTCGAAGGAACAGTAACTCTTCAAATGCAAAGATTGATGAAACCAAAGAACAACTTCATGAAGAAATTGCTAACATATTGGAAGTCAACAAGGAAGAACTCACTGCTATGGTCAACAAAAGGAAGAAGTTCAGCAAAAATGTTATGATCCCAATTGAAATATTTCCCGAAAATGAATCTATCAACATTACTAATGGAGGATTGTCCAAGAGTAAGGAAAATATCACTATCAGTTGACCGTCTTTAAATTTACAGAAGGGAGTATCTTACCAAGAAGAAAAGTTCCCTGTCGTTAGAAATGAAGAGTCCCAACAGATCCTTTTGGATCCTGATCCACCAGAGGATAACAATAGGCCGAGACAGGACCGGATGGATATGATTATGGAAGACACTAAAGAGGACAAAATATCCTCGAAATCAGATGAAGAGGTAACTAGACAACATACAAATGGAAAAACTCTTTTGGATGAGTATACTCAACCACCCGAAGAGATCACTTTTCGCAATAACTTATCTCCCAGGAGCATTACCTATCCAGGAGGAACTTACAACTTAGAGAAGCAACCTACCTCAGAGCAATCTCAAGAACAAAATAATCCACCCCCTACTGTTTCCAATGCTTAATTTCCTTTCTTGGAATATTAGAGGGATCGGGTCCAGTAGATCTATTAAAAGACTCATTATTTTTCAACAACAATTTCACTTACCTCTTTCATGCCTCCAAGAACCTCTAGTGGATAGTAGAAAACTAGAGAAATTCAAAAGGAGACTAAGGATGGATCATAGCTTCTTCAATATTAACAACAAGATATGGATTTACTGGAACCACAAGATCATTGTAGACATCATACAAGATAAAGATCAACATGTTCTTATTAAAATTTCCCATAATGATAGGCCATCCATTTTCCTGTCAATTATCTATGCTAAATGTTCAGAAGACTTGAGAAGAGAATTGTGGGCGGATCTCAAAACTATTGCTAACACTGTTCAAGGTCCCTGAGGTGCTATTGGGGACTTCAATGTCATTTGTACGGCTGTGGAAAAAATGGGTGGAAGACCTTTCACCCTTGGAGAAAGCTTGGACTTCCTAGACTGCCTAAGTGAGTGTGGGCTTCAAGATGCAGGATATTCTGGTGCTAAATTCACTTGGTGCGACAACAAGGATCCCCCTAACACTATCTGGAAAAGGCTGGACATATTAGTTTATAATACCAATTGGTTTGATGATTACAACACGACTAGTGTGTCCTATCTCTCAAGGACATGCTCAGATCATGCCCCTTTGTTGGTCAACATGAACAACATTGCTCCCCAATGCATTAAATATTTCAAATTTCTCAACGTTTGTACTGAACATGAAAGCTTTCTTGGTACCATTCAAAGGTGTTGGGAAGAACTAGTAGTGGGAAATCCTATGTATATTTTACATCAGAAGATCAAAAAACTTGTAAAATGCTTAGTCTCTGGTCTAGAGAGCTTAGTCTCTGGTCTAGAGAGACTTATGGAGACATCAATGAGGAGCCAAATGAAAGTATTGGAAGAAAACAGTGTTATGAACAACACTAAGACCAACAGATGTGAACTTTCTAGATGCAGAGCTGAGTTTACAAAATATTTGAAACTTCAAGATGCCATCCTAAGACAAAAGGCTAGGGCCAAATGGTTAGAGGAAGGAGATGCCAATACTTCTTACTTTCACAGCACTATTAAAGATAGGAGGAGGAGACTCTCTTTAAAGAAAATTATGAATGAGCAGAATCAATGGCTTGAAGGAAATGATCAAATTGTTGAAGGAGCAGTGAGCTTTTACCAAAACTTGTTTAGCCATGAAAGTGTCGCTATAGATACTGAAACTATAAACTATTTACCAAGGTGTATCACTGATAAGGATAATGAGATGCTGAGTGCTCTGCCAACCCTTCAAGAAGTCAAAGAGTGTGTTTTCTCTTTGGATCCAGATAGTGCACCGAGGCCAGATGGACTCAATGGATGCTTTTATCAAGCAACTTAGAACATAATAGCTTCTGATATCCACAAAGCTATTATTTCCTTCTTCTCAGGTGATATCCTTCCAAAAAAATTTACTCATACTTGTTTAGTTCTTATTCCGAAGATTGATCACCCTCAAAGTTTCTCTGATTTAAGACCTATTAGCTTGTGCAATGTCTCTAGTAAAATAATCTCTAAGATTCTCAATGCAAGACTTGCTAGTATTTTACCTAGAATTATTTCTAAGAATCAAACTGGGTTTGTTAAAGGTAGGGCTATTTCAGAGAATATTATTTCGGCTCAAGAGATCATTAGAGACATTAACAAACTCAATAGAGGAGGGAATATGGTCATAAAACTGGACATGACCAAAGCTTATGATAAGGTCTCTTGGTCATTTCTATGTTTAGCTCTTAGGAAAATGGGTTTCTCGGAGAACTGGATCCACATTATTTACAACTATTTGTCAAACAACTGGTACTCTGTTATTATAAATGTAGGGAGATATGGTTTCTTCAAGTCCTCTAGTGGACTAAGACAAGGAGACCATCTATCCCCTTCTCTTTTTATTTTGAGTGCTGAATTACTTTCTCATATGTTGATAGGTCTGCAAACCAAGAGTGGGTACAAAGGTTTCTACATGAGTGCCAATGGTCCCCAGATCAACCACTTAACATTTGCCGATGACACAATCATCTTTTGCAATGGGGACAAGAGATCTCTCAAAATGATTCTGTACACTCTCAAGAAATATGAAGACAACAGTGGTCAACTCATTAATAGAAACAAGAGTTGTTTCTCCCTCAAATCCAAAGCAAGTCTTAACACTATCACTAGAATGAAAAGGCTCATTGGTATGGTTTACCATAAATTTCCCATCAACTATCTTGGTTGTCCCTTAATCACTGGGAAAAAAAAGATTTCGTATTACAACGATATTGTCAAAAAGGTTACTAGCAAAATTAGAGGATGGCACTCTAAACTCCTCTCTCCTGGTGGCAGAGCCATTCTCATTAGACATGTTTTTCTTGCTCTTCCCACTCATCTTCTCAGTGTTGTTGATCCTCCTAAGGGAACTTTTGAAATTATTGAAAAATGCTTAGCTAGGTTCTTTTGGTCTGGACAAGACACTGGAAACAAGTATCACTGGATCTCATGGGATAACTTGTGCTATCCGTTTGAGGAAGGTGGCATCAATTTCAGAAGAATTGAAGATATTTGTAATTCTTTGAAGTCAAAACAATGGTGGAAGCTCAGAACTTCTAAATCTCTTTAGAGTGATTTCATCGGAGACAAGTACTGGAATAATCAACACCCTATGAAGGTCCAATGGAAAAGAGAAACCTCTCAAACTGGAAATCTCTCTGTGGGGTCAAATATAACACCGAAAAAAATATCTATTGGAGGGTTGGAAAAGGGGATGTGTCATTTTGGTTTGATAATTGGTCCAACTTGGGACCGTTTTATCTTCTGCACCCTAACGACAACTCTCATAGTTGTATCAATCTCAACTCTGTCTTAATAGAGGGAAGTTGGCATTGGGATAGTTTGCAATACCAACTTTCAACAGAAGATAAAAATAGGATCAACAGTATAGGTGTCCACTTGGACAACAACAAAGAGGACTATCCTATTTGGACTGATACATCTACTGGGGAATTCAGCACGAGCTCGGCCTGGAATAACAGTAGGCATAGAAGGGGGATCAACATTATGGCTAAAAACATATGGAACAAGGACATCCCTTTCAAGATGACATTTTTGACTTAGAGGGCAATCCACGATAGACTTCCAACTGATGAAAGAGTTACTAAAAAGTTTGGAATTAGTATCGGTCCTGGATGTCATTGTTGCACTTTAGACTACTCTAACACAAATATTGAAAATGTAGATCACCTTTTTTGTCTAGGTCTACAAGCTAAAAGAATCTGGAAGTTTTTTGCAGGGTCGCTGGGAATTGCTCATATAAATAATACTCTCAAGATGATATTACTCAGTTGGTGGAATTTGAAGACTAAAAACCCCATTGCTGCTTTCATATCTAAAGCTCTACCCCCAATCATTTGCTGGGAACTCTGGAGAACTAGGTGTAGCAATAAATTTGAGGCTGTAAAGCCTTCTTTTTCATAACCAAAACTAACATCACTTACACTCTATTGCAGGTTACACAGAAGAATTTTGGTCAAGCAAAGATAGGGGAAAGCTGGAATAGCCTCTGTCAAATCTTTGAAGCGGACATCAATCAAAGAACTTCCATCAGAGTCAAATGGCTCAAACCACCTAGAAATTTTATTAAGCTCAACAGTGATGGAAGTTGCGTTCAAGGAAGCTGTGGTGGAGGAGGGCTAATCAGAGACAACCAAGGCAACATGATGTTTGCTTACTCTTTAGATCTAGGCCAAGGTATTTGCAACATGGATGAAGCCCGAGCACTACTATATGGACTTAAATGGTGTGTTAGTAGAGGTTATGATAGGGTTTGGGGAGAAACAGATTCCCTACTCTTAGTTAAATGCATAAATGGAGAATGGAGAACGCCTTGGAGATTGGATAAATTGATTCAAGAAGCACAACAAATAGTTGAATCCCATGGATTTATCATCAATCATTGCTTCGGGGAAGCCAACAAACCTACTGATATATTAGCATCCAGGAGTTATAGTGTTGATGCAATACACGAGTTCAACTCTTTCTTTGATCTCCCGAGGGAAGTTAGGGGATTAATTAACACAGATAGATAGGAGTTCCCTTCCTTCAGAATGCAACAGGTTAAACCTTCTAATTTTATTTACGAACCCCCCTGAATCCTCTTTGTCAAGGAGTCACGTTAGTAGGGTAATAGCTAACTTAGACTCCCCCCCTTCTTTTGGTGTTAACTTGTAGAGTTTATCTAACTCTAGTTCTACCCCAAGATCTTGTATTAAGTTTGGTATACCAAACTTCAAAATGTAACTTTTTCATATCAATGATCATTGGAGGCAGTTAAAAAAAATAAAATACTTCCATGTTTACTAGAAATTCATTGTGCTTGGAGAAAAACACACATTTTGATGGTATTAAGCTCTTTCATATTGTAGTTAATAGTTTACAATATTTGGGATTGACGATATTGGATATAGCCTTTGTCGTAAATAAGCTAGCACAATATTTTCATCGTCTTTGGGTGCCACATATCTCGCTGCTAATTCAGTCTTTCATTCCAGATGAAGCATCTCGAGGTTGATTATATCATTTTGAGAAAGATCACTTATGAATTTACTTACAAAAGCTCTCCCTGGCTCTCTATTTGCATATCTTAGGTGCAAAATTGATGTTTCTGATCGATCATCATCTCGAGGGAGTTTATAAGGATATCATCTTATTCTCAAGTGATTGATATGATTTGATTATAATCTGATCATATGATTTAATTATAATTCTTTGTAATTTTCGTATAATTAACTTGATTAAGATTTCACCATAGTTAGCAACTTCTAGTTTTGATAAGACATCTCTTTTTCTTGCATGAAAATTGAATCATTATATATGAATACTAGAAAAGAAATTCAATTTGCTTCTCTAAATCTTTTGATATTTACTTGAGTTAATATCTCATATGGTCACTTCAACTTTCAATAGTTCACTTAGAAAGTCACTCAACTTTGAGTTGTTCCCTTCGAAAGTCACTCAACTTTGTTTTATAACTCAAAAGTCACTCAACTATTAATAGTTTTCTTAAAAAGTCACGTAACTATTGATATTTTACTTAAAATGTCACCCAACTAATTTAAATTAATTTTTTCATTAAATTTTGTAAAATACAAAAAAAAATAACTATTTAAAAAAATAATAATAAGATGCTTATTTTAATTATTTTATTAAATTTTTTTAAAGTATAATTTTTCTTTTTTTAAAACAAATGGTACTGTGGTGCGTCTTTATTTTTTATTGTACTTCTTATCAATTCCAACTTTTTTTTTTGGATCATTTTTTCACATATTTAACTCCAGTTATATAATTGATAAAACGGAAAAAGTTTTTTTTTTGGGTCAATTGCTACGGTACGTTTTTCCAAAAAAAAAATTGTAATTAAATAATTTGGATTAACAAAATAATTAAAATAAATATCTTATTATTTCTTTAAAAAAGTAGTTTAACATAGAAATTAAATTTCAATAAATTTATGAAAATATATTTAAATTGATTGAGTGACTTTCTAAGTGAAATATCAATAGTTGAGTGACTTTCTAAGTGAAACATCAATAGTTGAGTGACTTTTGAGTTATAAAATAAAGTTGAGTAACTTTCTAAGAGAACAATTCAAAGTTGAGTGACCATCTGAGATATTAAATCATATTTACTTTATAGTCATAATTTTATACTATCTTTACCTATTTTTGCAACCTCTCTTCTCTGGGCTACAAAGTGTATTTTTCATTTATAATGAATATTGTATATTAGCATGCCGGATATCCAGTATTATTGATTTAGTTTAACTATATTTCTATTGTTTAATTTAAAAAGTTTAATATATTTTCAAAATTTTATGTTTTATATTTTAACTAAATCGAAATAGAAAACTTGATCTAAGTGTTCCATAGAATACTTCAAATTATGTATGTATTTGTGAAATGAACTTTGATATTATCTTCTTTTTTTTCATAATTTTACACTTAAAAATACTTTTTTTTAAAACATTGACTAGAGATAATAATAATAATATGTTTATCAACTACTTGAAAATAGTATCTTTTGAATTGTCAAATAAAAATTATTATTCTAAAAAACAAAATTGAAAAACTATTTTGATAAAAAAAAAAAAAAAGAGTCTCCTAAAAGTAAGGAGTTGTTAGAAGCACACTTTTGTATTCTTCCTCACTCTTTTTATTTCCCTAATTGTTCGTCTCTAACTCCACATTTCTTGTGACTTAAGCAAACTTTTCCTATTCAGGATTTGCTCAGATACAAATATTAAGGTGTTATTTGATTAAAAAAATCTTGCAAACTTCCAATTAATAAAGAAGAATTTTTAACATCTTTATA